TCTTTCTTTCTTTCTTTCTTTCTTTCTTTCTTTCTTTCTTTCTTTCTTTCTTTCTTTCTTTCTTTCTTTCTTTCTTTCTTTCTTTCTTTCTTACAATTTAGCAAACTGAAGTTACGTATAAATCCAAACTTCTCCTAACTCTACTATTTTATAAATCAGTGAGTGGTGTTGTGCACTCATCTAAAGAATCACTTTACCTAGGCTGACAAAGAGAGCTAGAGAGCTGTGCTGGTAAACCAGTAATCTAGCACAGAAAAAGAAAAGGAAGGGGAAGACAGGAGAGGTGAAGGGACAGGAGGGGAGGAGAGGTCCGGGAACCTGCTGTGTTTGCAGATTTACTTTGCTGCTTTCCATAGTATAAACCGTAAACACTCTCTCTGAGGTAGATTTCAAGCTACCAAGCAGACATCGACAAAATCAGAGCTGGGTACATTTGGGCCTCCCGAGCTGCAAAGCAGCTCCAACATACCTCCGCAACAAGTACTCATCCTGAGTGTCAGAAACCCAGGGAGCCAAGAACAATGTGAGCAGGAAAAGGCCCACCCTCAAGGGAGAGGAGCACTCAGGAGTGAGGGAATGTTTGCTCAGTCTCTGGAAAGCTGCAGCACCCTGAAGGTAAAGCCCCCGAACCCAACGCAGGGCAAATGGGGATATAAACCACAGAACCAAGTCAAGGAGGGACATGGCACCACAAGAGAGATCAAGGTGAACACTGAGGTCAGAACCAAGACCTGAGAGAAAGCAATGCAAGGTCAGAGGAAGAAATGCCTGAGTTCAATCAGCCACAACCTGCAGGGGACACCCAAGCGGGACCTGAGGATGCAGCAGAAGTCCCAAGAGCCTGATCAGCTCTCCTTCCCAGCCCACCAAAGCCTGATCCCCAGCATGAGCTGGGAGATCCTCCTCTGGGCTCTCCAGGCATGCTGTGATGACCTCTAACACAACACTGCCACAAGGCTGTGAGCTCCTTTAGGTATAGAGCGCCAGGCAGGTGTTAGCAAAAATCAGCCTGTGGATCACCTCTACCCTGCCACTTGCTTTCATAAGTTATGCAAGCAAAGAATGATTTTTACATTTCTTAATGGTTGAATAAAATCAAAAGAAGAAAAATATTTTGTGATACATTTGTTATATGAAATTCAAAATTCAAACAAAGTGTTCCCAGGAAAACAGCCACTGATTGTCTATGCCTGTTTTCAGGGTACCATATGGCCTCCAAAACAAAGAATGCTCACTATCTGTTCTCTTATATGGAAAGCTTAGCAACTCTCATGCCACATTGCCGCATGCCACAAGACAGGGACCCTGGATAAATGTTTGATTGGTGATTACTTGACCCTCGATCTAGCCCCAGTCCTTTTAAATTTTATATTATCATCCAGGCTCTCCCACCCTTATCCTAGCAAGAGCTTTGCTCTCCAGCCCCTAGGAGCACTTGGTTCCCAGTGAGAACACAATTAGATCTTTCCAAATGGGTTCATCCCAATCTGCCTGCAGAAGCATTTCTAAGTGGGTAGGCCCATGGAGTGTGGAGACATTCTACTAACACACACATACACACAAAGGATGCCACAACTCAAAAAGCTTAATAAATGTCGAGCTAAACAAGTGAGCATGCTTCTTATTTCAAAGACTTTAAGAAGCCAGTGTGCTCTGTGAAATTCCAGATGTGGGGCGGGGGCATTTCCGGAACTGATTTGGCTTAGGGCCTGTTTCTTGAGAAGTCTTTCCCAGAATCCATTTTGGGAGTCTATGTCTAAAGGAAGTAGATCTCTATCAGAGTTCATCAAGGCTTCCTGGAGAGTTAGTTGCTTTGACCTAAGTTGTTGACTCAACTGTGACCACCCACCACCATTTGGCTGTGGGGAGCATCGACTACAGCAACTACAGCCACCTCACCCTGTAGAGAGAGGCCATTGCTTCACTCCTGGCAAGACCACTGCCTGCAGATCCCTTTTCCTCATGCTCCCGCAATGCCAGCTTCCTCTCCTCCTCCAAGTCTCCCCTCAGGTGTCACCTTCTCAAGGAGGCCACTCTACATCAAACTGCAAGGA